AACCCACAGTTTCCCTTGCACAAAAGAAAAGTGTGCTTAGAAAATGAGAGGCTAGGGGAGAGACTCTCTTTCATCTTTAGCAGAACTCCAGAAACAGGCACCACTCCTCATGGTCAATGTCAGCAACAACAACATGCAACCAACACCACTAGCTCCTAATGTTGAGAACACTGGGATGTCAGGGGAGCTACAGGACAAGCTAAGCCTAGACCCTTATTCATTAGTCAAATAATTTGCCAGACACCAGACTCCAATGATGAGCAGGAACCGTGGCACTCACATTGTGTTTGTAGTTGGTACTGACAGCATGCCAGGTAAAGTGAGCTCCTGGCAGAGCTGATCCCAGTGGCATTAGAGATGCCAGCTGCAGAAGGGGAGGGCTTCCCAGGTTAGCTCTCGGGGTCCACAGCCTGCTCAAAACGAGGCCAGAGGCACTGGAACCACCTCTGTGACAGCTACATCTTGCTTCATTCTGCCCTCCCTCTCCTTTTTTGTGTGGGATTCAGGGTCTCTGGCTCAGCAAGACAAAACTGCAGCTCCATGAACAGGCCCATCCTCCTTCCACTGTGCAAGAAGACTTGAGCCACATAGTTTCTGCAGAACCCATTTAAGTTCAAATATTCGACAAATCTCATTAAACATTTACAAAGAGAAAAATCCTCACACATACAGTATTTGCCTTTCTCTCTCTCTCATTTCACTTAGCATAATGCCCTCAAGTTTTATCCATGTTGTTGCAAATGGTAGGATTGCCTTGTTTTTTATGGCTGAATAATTATACACACACACACGATGAAGCAAAAGTAGGGTTACAGTGGTTCATATGGAAAATAATACAATAATAAATAACAATAAAAGAATAAACTGTTCAGTGTACTCACAGCTGTAAACCTATGTTTGCCCCACCCTGTATACATATAACATTTATACTCACTCATTTGTCCATGGATACTTAAGCTGCTTTCATGTCTTAGCTACCATAAATAACACTGCAATAAACATGGGTGTGCCCATATCTTTTCAAGATAATGATTTTTGTTCCCTCAGATAAATACTCAGAACGGTTCTGTGGTTGTATAAACATACACATTATCTAAAAATATGGTTAGTGCCCTGGCTGGTTTTGCTCAGTGGTTAGAGCATGAGGTCTGGGCACTGAAGGGTTCAATTCCTGGTCAAGGGCATGTATCTGGGTTGCAGGTTTGATCCCTGGCTCTGGTTGGCGACAGGTGCGGGAGGCAACCAATGGATGTGTCTCTTTCACATTGATGTTTCTCTCTCTCTCCCCCCTTCCTCTCTTTCTTCCACTCTCTCTAAAAATCAATGGAGAAAATATATTTGGGTAAGGATTAACAAAAAATTAAATAAATAAAAATCTGGCTAATAGGTGCACTTACCTTGGGAGGAGACTGAGACTGGGGTTTTCTAAAAGGGAACTCCAGGTTGATTAGTGTACTTGGAATTTTTAAACAATGTATTCTTGTATCATTTGTTAAATTTAAAATAAGCTAAATTTAAAATATATGATGATAACAAATTTTGATTTAAAAAGAAAAAAAAAACACCCAAAACTGGAATTTCTAGATCATGTGGTTAGTTCTATTTTTTTGAGCAATCTCCTTAATGTTTTTCAAAGTGGCTGCACCAATTAACATTCCCAGTAACAGTGCACAAGGGTTTCCCTTTTTCCATGTCCTTGCCAACACTTGTTATTTCTTATCTTTTTGAAATAACCATTCTAATAGGTGTGAGGTGATATCTCATTGTGGTTTTGACATGCATTTACTTGATGTTTAGTGATGCTGAGTACATTTTCATATACCTGTTGACCTTTTGTATGTGTTATTTAGAAAAATGTTTACACAAATCCTCTGCACATTTTTTAATTGATTGTTTCCTACTGAATTGCATGGGTCCTTTATATATTTTGGGTATTAACCCATTATCAGATATATGATTTGCAAATATTTTTTCCCATTTCATACATTGTATTTTCATTTTACTGATGGTTTCCTTTGCTGTACAGAAACTCCTAGTTAAATAAAGTACCACTTAATATATTTTTTCTTTTGGTGTCAAATCCAAAAATGTATTGCCAATACCTGTGTAAAGGAGCTTACCCCCTGAGATTTCTTCTAGAGGTTTTATGGTTTCAGGTCTTACATTCAAGTCTTTCATCCATTTTGAGTTGATTTTGGTATATGGAATAAGATAGTGGTCCAGTTTCATTCTTTTGAAAGTGGTAATCCAGTCTTCCCAGCACCATTTATTAAAGAGAAAGTTCTTACTCCGTTGTGTATTCTTTGCTCTATTTGCTATAAATCAAATGAACATATATGCATGGGTCTACTTCTGAGATCTTTATCCTGTTCCATTAATCTATGTGTTTTTTTATATCATACACTTTTGATTACTATAGCTTTGTAATATAGTTTGAAATTTAGACGTGTCATGCCTCCAGCTTTGTTCTTCTTTCTCTAGATTGCTTTGGCTATTGGTATCCTCTGTGGCTCCATACAAATTTTAGGATAGTTTTTTTTTTTTCTTTCAGTGAAAACGGCTATTGGAATTTTGATAGGAATTGCATTGCTTTGTGTAGTATGGATATTTGAATAATATTAATTCTTCCAATTAATAAGAAAATTTTCCCATTTTTTTGTGTTTTCTTCAATTTCTTTCTTCAATGTATTAGCTCTCAGTGTTCAGTTCTTTCACCTCCTTGGTTAAAGTTAATTCTAGGTATTTTTTTTATTTAGTTGTTAATGGGGTTGGTTCTTTTTAACTTCTCTTTCTGACAGCTTGTTATTAGTATATAGAAATGCAAGTGGTTTTTGTGTACTGATTTTGTGTCCTGAAATTTAACCAATTTGTTAAATAGTTATGACATTTAAGTTGTGGAGTGTTAGGGTTTTCTTATTATGGCATGTCATCTGCAAAGAGAGGCTGTTTTACTTCTTTTTTTGATGTAGGTGCCTTTCATTTTATCTTGCCTAATTGTTCTAGCTCATTTCCAATCTATTTTGAATAAAAGTAGCAAGATTGGACATCCTTGTCTTGTTTCTGATATTAAAGGAAATGCTTTCAGGTTTTTGCCGTTGAATGTGATATTAGACGTGGGCTTGTCATAAATGGCCTTTGTTATATTGAGGTACATTTACTCTATGCCCAGTATTTGAGAGTTTTCACCAGGAATGGATATTGAATTTTGTCAAATGCTCTTTACATCTATTGAGGTGATTATAAGGTTTTCACCCATTATTTTGTTAATGTGTGTATCATATGGATTGATTTGCAAATTTTGAATCATCCTTGCATCCCTGGAATAAATCCCACTTGATCATGGTGTACAATATTTAATGGATTGTTGAATTTGGTTTGCTAATGTTTTGTGGGGGACTGTTATATCGATGCTCATTAGATATATTGGCCTGTAATTTTCTTTTCTTATAGTATTTTTGTCTGGTTTTTGTATCATGGTAGTGTTTCCCATGTAAAATGAGCTTGTATGTATTACATATCTTCTGGGGGGATTTTGTTATTGATTGTGGTTGTTTTCATTTTGTTTTGTTTTTTTGAGAAGTATGCATATTTATTCTTTTTTGTATGTTCGGTAGAATTCACCAGTGAAACCATTTGGTCCTAGACTTTTGTTTGTTGGGAGGTTGTTGGTAACTGATTCAATCTCCTTACTAGAAATTAGTCTGCTCAGATTTTCTATTTCTTCACGATTTAGTCTTGGTTGTTTGCATGTTTTTAGAAATTTATCCACCTCTTCAAGGCTGTCCAATTTGCTGGCATATAGTAGTTCACTGCAGTCTCATTATTCCTTGTATTTCTGTGGATTCAGTAATGACATCTCCCCTTTCATTTCTGATTTTGAGTATTCTCTTTTTCTTGGAGAGTCTGCTAAAGGTTTGCCTATTTATCTTTAAAAAAAAAAAAAGCTCTTAGTTCCATTGATATTTTATATTGTTTTTACTCTATTTCGTTATTTCTGCTCTGATCTTTGTTATTTTCTTCTTTCTACTAACTTTGGGCTCAATTTGTTCTTCTTTTTCTAGACCTTGGAATGTAAAGCTAGGTTATTTAATTGAAAGCTTTCTTTTTAAAAAAAATACTTTTATTGATTTTTAGAGAGAGAGGAAGGGAGAGGGAGAGAGAGAAAAACATTGGTGTGAGAGGAAACATCATTCGGCTGGCTGCCTCCTGCACGCTCCCTACTGGGCATTAAGCCTGAGATCCTGGCATGTGCCCTGACCCAACCAGCAACCTTTTGGTGCTGGGACGACATTCAACCAACTGAGCCACACTGGCCAGGGCAGACCTTTCTTGTTTTTAATGTGCCATTTATTGGTATGAAAGTCCCTCCAAGAACTGCTTTTACTGCANTGGTGCTGGGACGACATTCAACCAACTGAGCCACACTGGCCAGGGCAGACTTTTCTTGTTTTTAATGCGCCATTTATTGGTATGAAAGTCCCTCCAAGAACTGCTTTTACTGCCTCTCATAATATTGGTATGTTGTATTTCAATTTTCACTTGTCTCAGATATTTTTCAGTTGTCTTTCAATTTCTTCTTTTACCCTTTGCTTGTTTAGTGGCATGTTGTTTAATTTTACTATTTGTTCATTTTCAGTTTTCTTCTTGTAATTGATTTCTTGTTTCATACCATTGTGTTTGAAAAGATGCTTAGTATTATTTCAATCTTCTTAAATTTATTAAGACTTGTTTTGTGGCCTACCATATGATCTATCCTGGAGAAAGTTTTGTGTACATTTGAGAATTCTACTGCTGTATTCTGCTGCTTTTGGACAGAATGTTTTGTAAATATCTGTTAAGTCTATCTGGTCAAATGTATCATTTAAATCCAATGTTTCCTCATTGATTTTCTGCTTGGATGATCTATCCATTGATAAAATGGGGTATTAAAGTCTTCCACTATCATTGTACTGTTTTCTATTTTTTTTAAGGTCTATTGATAATTGCTTTATATATTTTAGATGCTCCTGTACTGTGTGTACAAATACAGTCATGCACCACATAACATCTCAGTCAACAATGGACCTGATATAAGACAGTGCTCCTATAAGATTATAATGGAGCTGAAAAATTCTTGCTGTCTCATGACATCGTAGCCTTGGTAAGATCATAGTTCAACACATTATTCACATGTTTGTGGTGATGCTAGTATAAATAAACCTACTATGCTGTTAGTCACACAAAAGTATAGCGCATGCAATTATGTACCAGACATAATGCTCGAGAATGATAGCAAACAACTATGTTACTGGTTTATGTATTTACTACGCTATACATTTTGCTGTAATTTTAGTATGTACTCTTTCTACTTATAAAAAATGTTTGCTATAAAACAGTGTGCCATGTTACTCTGGCATCCTCCTCAGAAGTCTTGTGTTTACTGTGTTGCTTGATCGCATCATTTTCTCCTGTGCTTGATTTACTCTTGTGTTCTTTTGCACAGCTGTACAGGTTGGTGACCTAGGAGCAGCAGGCTACACATGCAGCTTAAGTGTGTGTTAGGCTATGCCATCTAGGTTAAGTGCATACCGTCCAGGTGTAAGTGCATCCTGTGATGTTTGCACGGTGATAACCTAACGAAGCATTTCTAAGAACACAGCCTCATCATTAAGCCTGGCACATGACTATAGTTATAAATGTTATGTCCTCTTATTCAATTGAGCCTTATCATTATATAATGGCCCCTTTGTCTCTTAGTACAGACTTTGTCTTAAAGTCTAATTTGTCTGATAGGTCCCCCAGCTTTCTTGAATTAGTAGTCACTCTTTGAAGTCTAGGTGTTACGTTTGAAAGGGTGTTAGGGCTCAAAAAGGGATCAATTAAGGTAACTTGAAGTAATTCAACAGGAATCCCTGCCACAGTTTAAGGAAAAAAATTATTTTAAAAAAGCTTCTAGAAAACAGTTATTTGTAGCTCTGCAGAGTATGCCACATGGTGGCTCAGTTTCCCTCAGAGACCTGCCCAACTCCTGTCCCTGTCCCTGCCCCCACCTGCCCTGCCTGGCTAACTTTCTTTTTTATTCTTTTTAAAAAATGTTTTAAAATATATCTTTATTGATTTCAGAAAGAAGAAGGGAGACGNTCTTTTTAAAAAATGTTTTAAAATATATCTTTATTGATTTCAGAAAGAAGGGAGACGGAGAGAGAGAAAGAAACATCAATGGTGAGAGTCATTGATCGGCTGCCTCCAGCACGCCCCCGACTGGAGAGNATGGTGAGAGTCATTGATCGGCTGCCTCCTGCACGCCCCCGACTGGAGAGCGAGCCCGCAACCCGGGCATGTGCCCTGACTGGGAATCGAACCCTGATCGCCTGGATCCTAGGTCGATGCTCAACTGCTTAGCCACGCCCTGCCGGGCTGACTAACTTTCTTAGGCCAACATTCCTGCAATAGACCTTTTCTCTTCCAAGCTGCATCACTACCTATATCTTGATTTCCTCAGTTGTCAAGTGGCCATAACAGCATCTACCTCCTAAGGTCAATGTGAGGTTTAAATGTTCTGCTATAAGTCAAGCCACTTGAACAGGTTCCTGCAGTAAACCAAATCAGCAAATGAAAAGTGCTTTGCTGTTAGTGATGATCATTAGTCTTAAATGACAGAAGGGGCTCCAGCCAATGTAGAAAATTTTGGCTAAATTGTATTTCTGTATTGTGGCTCTAAATGACATATAAAATTCATTCTAAACTCACAAATGAAGACTGATTATTCCCTTGGAAGAGAAAAGATGTCTCCACACCAGATGCCAAGCCAGGGATATTCTCATCTCAGAGCAGCATGGAATACTATCTGGGCACAGAGGCTTTGGCTTCCCTTCTTAGATTCCTGGCCTCAAAATGTGGCAAGTCATGAAAGAAGGGAGCAAAAATATGGAGCATGAGACCAGATGAAATATTATTACCTGGACAATACAGTGTTTGAACTAGAAGCTCTGGATCTGCAAGTAAGGATGGCCATAAGATGATACACAACAGGGTCAATGGGCCACAGACTTCTGAGCTTCTCGCTATAATCAACATTCAAGTTAAACTTCAATCTACTTTTAATTTTATGGGGAAGAAAGTTGCTTAATCGTGCCAAGGGATAGCTTATAAATTTACCCAAGTTGGAAACCAACTCGATTTGCAAAACAGATACTTAAAGCTGCCTTGCCTATGAAAAGCAATATATTTCTCCCTATAAGATACTTACTAATTTATAAATAATAAAATAGTAACTAAGTTATGCAACACAAAATTCAGCTAAACTTTCTGACATTATACAGTATAGAAAGATCCCCTTTCCTCTATTTTCCAATGACATGGTCTTCATTTTCATCTGAGCTCTTCCCTTCCGTGCCTTAAATCCATATTTCTACCATCAGTCTGCTCATGATGATGCAAATATTCTCTAAGATAGCATGTATTACCATGCTCCTCACTTCCTTCTGAGTATTGGCTAATAGTCATTAAAATCCATGTCTCTATGAACAGTCTATTTAAGGCAATCTTAGCTTTTTTTTAATCGAGATCTTCAAAGTTCTTCCAGCCTCTGTCCACTTCCAAATCCCAAAACTACTTCTACATTTTTAGGTATTTGTTATATTAGCACCCCACTTCCAGATACCAAAATGTCTATTAGTTTATATTAGTTTCTCATTGCTGCTGTAACAAACCACCACAAACTCAGTGGCTCTAAACAACACAGATTTATTTTCCTATAGTTCAGGGAGTCAAAAGTCTGAAATGGGTCTTGTGGATTAAATGTGTCCCCACAAAATCCACACGTTGAATTCTTTTTAATCATCTCCCAGATATGGAGCCTGCAACCCAGGTACGTGCCCTTGGCTGGGACCGAACCGGGGACCCTTCAATCCCAGGCTAATGCTCTAACCACTGAGCCAAACTGGCCAGGGCCATGTGTTGAATTNGACCGAACCGGGGACCCTTCAATCCCAGGCTAATGCTCTAACCACTGAGCAAAACTGGCCAGGGCCATGTGTTGAATTCTTTTTTTTTTTTTAAATATATCTTTATTGATTTCGGAGAGAGGAAAGGAGAAGGAGAGAGAGAGAGAGATAGAAACATCAATGATGAGAGAGCCATTGATTGAGCCCGCAACCCGGGCATGTGCCCTGACCAGGAATCGAACCCCGATCGCCTGGATCCCAGGTGGACGCTCAAGCGCTGAGCCACGCCCGACCANCTGAGCCACGCCCGGCCGGGCTGTGTTGAATTCTTAATACCAATGTGACTATATTTGGAGATGAGGTCTCTAAAGAAGTAATTAAGGTTAAATAAAGATAAAAGGATGGGGCCCTAATCTGATAAAAGTAGTGTCCTCATAAAAAGAGACCTTGCTTGCACTCTCTGTGCACATGCACATGCACAAGGAAAGGCCTTGTGAGGACACAGCAGCGAAAAAGTGATCACCCACAAGTCAGGATGAGAGCTCTCACCAGAAGCCAAGCGTGCTGGCCCGCTGAACTAAGATTTCCATATCTCAAGAACTGTGAGAAAATAAATGTTTGTGCTTAAGTCTTCCAGTCTGTGGTATTGTGTTATGGCACCCCAAGCGAACTGACGCACAAAATTAAAATCAAGGCATTGGAAGGCTTTTATTCTTTCTAGAAGCACTAGGATAGACTACTTTTCCGTGACTTTTCCAGTTTTAGAGGCCTCCATTACTCCTTGATTCCTGGCCTCGTTTCATCTTTAAAATCAGCAAGTGCTCTCATTGTAAAATTTGCAACTGGCCCCAATTCTTCTGCTTCTCTCTCCCACATTTAAAGGACCCTTGGGCTTACACTGTGCTCACCTGAATAGTCAGGGACAATCTTCCCATTTTATGGTTACTTGATTAGCAGCTTTATTTCCATCCACAACTTAATTCACCCTTCCTATGTAACATAACCTTGGGTAATGGGTTCATCTTTTTAGGCACTCAGTCACCCACTCACCTAGGAAAGCTTTCATGGATAACTGAGTTCAGTTCAGCTCATTTGAAAATGAATTGAAAAGATTAGTTATTTTATACATTTAACAATAACCACCGTCCATGCTATACCCCAGATATTCAGGCAACTGAAAACACCCATAAACTGGGTGATTATATATGGGAATGTGAATAAAACCAAAAGTTTTTGAGAAAAAAAAGTATGTAACTGGCACATGTTGTTTCTGTCAATTATTTTTCTATTCAACGAGTAATACTGTCCATAGGTCTTTTATGAATGAAATTTTTTAGATTCTCTCTCTCTCTCTTTCCCTCTCTGTTTCCCTCTCCCTCCCTCCCTCTCTCTATATATATCTTTGTATATATCCATAAACAATATATAGCATTACTTTTCATGTGTTTTAATAGAATATAAATGGCATTATACTGCATACATCTGCAATTAGAAGTTTTTATTCAAAATTTTGTTTTGTACCGTGTCCCTTTTTAGCTCTGGTTTATACATTTTTTTATGGTTAAATAGTACTCTGTTTCATCAGTATAATAAAATGTCTTTACCTGTTTAATTTTTGATGGACATTTTGTTGCTGCCAACTATAACGGTTATTTAATGTGAACTTGGCTAGGCCAAAGTACTGACATATTTGGTCAAACATTATTCTGCATGATTCATTGAAGGTATTTTTTAAATGAGATTAATATTTAAATCAGTAGACTTTGAATAAAGCAGATTACTTTCTATAATGTTGGCGGGCCTCACCCTATTAGATGAAGGCCTTAACAGAAATTATGAGCCTCCCTCAAAAAAGAGAGTTCTTCCAACATCCTGCCTTCAGACTCAGACCGCAGCCTCATCTCTTGCCTGGGTTTCCAGTCTATCGGCTTCCACAGTCATGTGAGCCAGTTCTTTGACATTTCTCCCTCTCTCCCATCCCTCTCCCTTATCCTGTTTCCCTGAATAGCCCTTACTAATATACTACCTTTTCCTTCTAATCAATCTTGCAGTGAATATTTCTGCGCATGTTTCCTTGTACTCATAGGAAGTGGTTTTCTGGGGCTACTCCTATTATTAGAATCATAAGTTCTAAGGGTATGAACATCTTCATTATCACGAGACATTGTAACATTGCTCTCCAAATTGGTCACACCAATTTACAGCTTTAACAGTAGTGTTTGTGCATTGCTATTGTTTTCCATACCACAGTATCTTCANGCTTTAACAGTAGTGTTTGTGCATTGCTATTGTTTTCCATACCCCAGTATCTTCATATTGTCAGGTTTTGTCAACTGACATTTTTAATAAGGAAGCTCATTGTTGTTTTAATTTGCATTTCTAAGATTTCTAGTGAGATTGAGCATATATTTTTGTTTATTTGTTGAATGTTCATATTTCTCCTCTCACCATATGAAACATTCAAACCTATAAAAATTTTCATGGGTTTATTTGAGCCAAACTGATGACAATTGAGGGAAAGCAAAATCTCAATAGACTGAGAAAATGCTCTAAAGAATGGCAGTTTTGCACCTTTTTATATTCATTACAATCAAAGGAGGAGCCATAAGAGGGGTATGTGAAATCCACTGGTTGTAGATTAGGGAGGCAGGAGAAAGCAAAGCAGGGAAACCTCTAAGATTGGATAAAAGTAAAACAGAGAGACACATGCTTCTTTTACACTGGTGGGTGCAGATAGTTAACAATATCCCAGCACCTGGAGATGGTGTTCGGGGCACATGACAACCAGGGCCTCTGCGGCNGTGTTCAGGGAACATGACAACCAGGGGCTCTGCGGCTCCCGTTCTCATGGGGGATTGTGTCCTGAGGGGCCTGGAAAAGCGGGATCGCTCTGACATCCCAAAGGTGTGTTATCTTAGGTGCAAAAGGACAATAGACAGGCTCAGTTAGGGTAAAGATTGACCTTTGTCAGGGAAGATATGGGCCTAGGACATACCTGCCCGCCAGGACTGGCTTTTAGTTAGAAAGTTTTCATTCCAGACCGCCCTCTGGGGTTGCCTTAGGTCTCTGAGTTTGCAAGGCCGCCACGCAGGCCTCCCTGAGCTGTCAGGTTTAGTATGCGGCTCCTGTTTTGTCCATACCTCTAATATTAAGCACCTTTTTACATACTTAAAACATTTTTTTCTCTTGGTTTG